TTTCACTGGTAACCTAGTATTTTCTAAGGTGTACGATATCCTGTTGTTTGGTTTTTCCAATTACATGATCACAAGCAAAAGTTTTGTACAAACTATCCTTTGAACAGGTTTCTCTAGGGTAAATATTAAAAAGTGGAATGTTGGGGTCATGATACATGTGTGAATTTTACATTCAAATGGCTGTATCATCTAGTTGCCTTAAAAAGCAAAACGCAAGCTGTGCCGACCTGCCCAGACCGCGGGCCCCTACCAGCTCCCCACGGCTTCCTGCGCATTTTCTTACCTGCTGAGGTGAGAGCCCCTCTGTAACTGCTTGTTTGCTTACATGCATCTTCACAGCTTTCCGTTTCGAAGACTTTTGTCCAGAAAGCAGAAGACAGACTACTACGCGTCTAGCTGGAATGAATTTTTGTGAGAAACCTAAACTTGCTTCTTTGCCAAGTGGATATACAGCCAAAACCACTGGTTGGGTCATGCTTTCCCTACTGATTTAAAATGCGACTTTTACCACTTACTCAGCATATTTATGTTTAGATTCTGTGATACTAGAGATTTTTGGCTTTAGGTACCTGAGTTATTCTTGACTTCCTGGTTTATGGAATATGTGATTTTTGCCAGCCAAAAAATGCCCATGTTGACAATGATATAATTCATGATACACAAATCTTACTCTAGGTAAGTTAAGTTTAAATCAGTTGCATTTTCTAAAAACTTGAGTCTTGAAAAAAATGTGTAAACTTCTTTATCAGATTAGTTCTTAGGGGAAATTCACAGGTTTGGGGTGGAGGCTTTTCGTGGTCCCCTCTTTCCACAGGTGTTACTTGATAGTAAAGCTCTTTATTATCTTAAGTAATGGCAAAAGATTTCACACAGCATCGCAATGATTCTGCTGACCTCTAACAATGAGTCTGAAGTTCGTTTAACAAGTGACATTTGCTACGAATACTGACCACAGGCCCCCAGCTTTGCCCATCCACCTGTCTGTCCTCTCGGCCCAGTGCCAGGGCAGCACCAAAAGTAAAAATAGCACTGAACCGCACTGCAGCAGCGCTTCCCTAAAAGAAAGAACAGTTCAAATCTCTCCAAAACGTCAGGGGAAAGGGGGGACACTTACAGCCAAATGCATATTTTTTTCTGTCTATGCAAGTCTGCCACAGGATCTAATGACCTTTTTTAGAGTAGGAAAATAGGAAAACTACAACTAAACACTGACCAGATTTACTGTCACATTCAAGTGTGGAGAAATATCCGTTACCTAAGGTGGTGGTCCCCAGGCCTGACCTCTCCGTAGATGCACCACTTGACTGAGAAATGACTTGGAACTGCATTTTAGGGTTCCATAGTTGCTATCTGGAAATACTCAAGGTAATGTGCATTTGCCTTGTCTCAAACCTCAAGTTACTTTTCTAAGCTAGAACATTCTTTCTTTTCCTTCTCCAAAGGATACTCCAGGCATTGTCTGCAGACTTACCAACTCCAGAGCCAGGAGCAACCCCCAAGCTGCCTGCCTGTCAGTCTGCAGCACAAGCCATCAACCAAGACTGTGAGAGTGCAAAATAGTGTCTCGCTGGGCGCTGGTGGCTCGAGAGGCTGAGATCTGAGGACCACAGTTCAAAGTCTGCTTGGGTAGGAAAGTCCAATTAACCACCCGAAAACCAAAAATGGCACTGTAACTCAAAGTGGTAGAGCACTAGCCTTAAGTGCAAGAGCTCAAAGATAGTGCCTAGGACCTGAGTTCAAGTCTCAGGACAGACCAAAAAAAAAAAGTAGCATCTTACTTTATCTAACCCTGAAAAGGTGTTGTTTTCACTTGCTGATTCGATTTTTTAAAAAAGTACGTGTGTGTAAACTTCAACTTGCCTCAACTGTCAACGTCACTGCGTGTGTGTTACACTAACAGCGCCCCAGGAGGGAAACAGTTACTGATACACAGGAATAGCAACCTTGGCCCTCTCTAAAAGGAACACCAACATATAAAGAAAGAACTAGGCACAGAACTGAGAGCTGGTATAGAAATACAGGAGGCAGCGATACATTCTGGAAGGTCAAGAACAGAGAAACAGGTGCAAATATACATCGCAAAATAAAGTATTTGTATTAGTAGAAAATAGAAAGAGGGCAGCTGGCCTGAGGCAGAAGGGGGACGAGGAAGAGTCCAGGTTTGCACGAGCAGGGACACACAGGGAAAAGGAAAGGCAGAAGAAGCCTGGTGACGCGTCAGTACCTGCTGTGGGGTCGAGCTCCGAGAAGGCTCGCCCGAGAGGCACAATGCGACCACCAGGCTCCGCCAGCTCCCTTTTATTAAGCTCTTGACATTCCTTGGACGAAAAACACAACATTCATTTCAGTTAGATGTGAATATAAAAACAAACTCAAACTTTCAAGTATGTTTTGAGGCTAAGGGTAAAGAAAGAAAGCAGTGTTGGGAATGGAAGACCTGCTGAGAAGCCAAGACCCAAGGCAAACTGTGAGCAGCAGAAAACTGCCGCATTTCACCTTTTCTTCCCTTAAAGGCCCCCACCCCATCTGCCTGCGCTCTACCAGTCCTTGGCTGAGCTCGAGGCCCATTGCTCTTGCTTTCTTAACAGATGCTAAACTACCAAGGTGGGGGGGGGGGGCAGGCAAAAGTCCGCTCCATAGAACCCTGCGGATGCCTTTCAGGAGGCCTGTCGCTGCTTTAGGACCTGTGCTTCAAATGCCCTCCCTCAGTGCAGATGCCACCTTTTAACAAGCTGTCTTGACAAAGCCACCCCAAGCTGTACATCAAGTACTTCTCATTGCACTTATCAGCTAGCTTGTCTTCGCCATCCGGTAAGCTGTGGGCCTTGTTTGAACAAGACAGTTGCTGAAGACAACTGAATCCGGGCTATATATGGCTTCACTTAATTTTAGTACAAGTAAAAGGAAATACTTAATCCCAACTCCCTACTCTGTTTTGTAGCAAGCTGTTGAGATTACATTGTAACTACCTACATTTTTCTTTGGGAAATACTCAGTTTGAACTGGACTTGCAGTATACTTTCAGGAAAACTGTTCTTCTTGGTTGTCTAAATTAAACCAACACAAAGTTTACATAGCACCTTGGTCTCTACATATTGCAGATTAGACAGATGACGTTCTTGTAAAACTAAGCTCCTGAACGGTGATTTCAGTTAGTTAAAATTCTAGCTCTTTTGAGCGAGACCCTCAGTCTCCCAGGTAAACCCAAACTACTTAAGATTCTTATTTCCAACTGCAAGCAAAGTAGCTTTGCTGAAGTGAGTATTAACAGTTAAGGCTCCCTATACATATTGCCAAGTGACAAAGCTCACAGGAAAGCCTCTGAGAGGCATCATTTGTTAAGAGTAAGTTGCACTTGTTAGGTTACTGGATGTTTAACCTTTAGAAAGCCATTCGCACTGGTAAAAGCTGTTTTGCCTTCTGTTCAAATGTATTAGGAGCGACGCGGTTACTTTGGACCCTGACAGTCACCACCTCCTTTTGTCACGTTTTCCTCCTATCCCCAGAACCAACTGAGCTCTCATTGTCATCCACAGTTTTTGTTGCTTTTCTTGGGTGACAAGGATGGAACCCAAGGCCTGGGAGGCCAGGGACACAGTGGTCTAGGCCAAGGCTCCGTCGGCTCCCAGCCTGTCCACCATCAGCCCTCATCCGGGTTTAACCACGGGAGGCTGGCCTCCCAAGGCAGAGCTCCACCTGCTAGCTCACACCACACCCAACTATGTAGCTCCGGGTGGGACCTCAGTCCCACACCCACCTTTAGCCTCCCTCCCTGCTCCCCTCCCTCAGCCTGCGTGTACTTACTTGCCTCAAATACGTCTCCTGTTCTCCACACTAAGCTCTTCGTCACTGTCAAACATACCCTGCGGCACAACTAGAACACAAAAACACTTAGCAAGCCACGCACACCTCAATCGTTTGCCTTCTGTTGGCTGATCCGTTTCAAACAGACAACCAACTAACTACTGTTTCTCACTAATTCCCAATGAGCTACTGATAGCACATGTCGATTTTTACAGGCACCTTTCTGAATTCAAGTAAAAGTTTGGTAGACAAGGATTTGCTACTTCTATCACTAACATAATATGGATACTGGTATAAATATTGCTCATCATTCTTGCATTCTTTAAATTATTTTACTTTGAAATTTTAAGAACTGTCATTAAATCATTAATAACATAGGTTTTCATTTAAAGAATATTCTGAACTGTGAAAATACAAATCTAGTCATTTTGAACATATATAGAGCCAAATATTTCAACAAAACTGCAGTTTAATTTCAGAAAATTTGTTAAAATATATATTTATACATCAATTTCTGACATATACTCAATGTGTTAGTACACACAAAATGATACTTTCTCTTCAAATGTATTTATGAAATGTACATTTTAATTTAAACTCAGTATACACTGCACTTAATCTGCATGTTGCATTTATTAAATACAGTAAAATCTGCGATGTAACAAAACGTTTTCTGCATACGAAATCGAGAACACCATTTTAAATGAACAAAAGCTGGCTCACTTCATTTCTGTTTTTGTACAACTAGTGCACTGAACACTAGGCTCAGCCTACCTGCCACGTGCTTGCTCTCTTTTATTGACATTGTTCACAGACTAGTACACACTACAGTAAGAGTGCTGGGTGAGAACATGAGGTACGGAAGTGGTTCAAAGGTTGCAGGCATGCAGAGCATGCTAGACAGCAGAGGAAACTGTGACCAAGAAAACACTAAATAAAATACATGAAGAATGTGCATGATATATATATATATATATATATACATATATGTATATATGTATATATATATATATATATATCTTTCTATATAAAAAACAAAAACAAAACTCCATTACACAGCTTTGCTTCTTTGGTTACAAAGTAGGTTGAACAATTCACAGCTTTTTATTCCCACCCGAAAGAAAGTCATACGAAATGTTGAAAAGCAGAGAATCATGGCAATTTCTCTATTAGAAAGTAGAAAGAAATAAACAAAGTTTTCTTCATCAAAATAGCCCAATTATTTATTATATCACAATAACTGGTGACTGTCTGTACAGATGCACTGTGTTCTTCATACTTACACTATACAAAATTTACATTCGAGCTGGGTCTTTACTACAGAAAATAAATACCAAAGGTAAATTGCCATTAGTGTTAGATAGAATGCCAGGATTCTTTTGTTCAATTATTGCCTAAACGTTTTATCTATGAAATGAAATCCTGTCTTTCAATTGCTTTACAGACACTTATAATTATTCAAAAAAATTAAAAAATTTCTGTGACATTGTTCATGTACATTATGAAAATAGCAGCCCTGTAATAAATAAAACACACACAAAAAAGAAAACTTATGTAGGCAAATGCTTCTGATACTGAAAGGAAAGGTGGCTCTTTAGATGAAGTGATAGGTATAATGTGGTAGAAGGCTCAGGGGAGTCCACCCATGTGCACCAGGGCAGATGCAGACTCTGCTCTAACAAACCCATCTGGCGTCCTCCAGGGGACAGACGGCCGAGGACGCCACTGGCCGCGTGGCGTCGTGGAGGAAAAGCTCTTGTAGGATGATTGTCTAATACTGAGAAGGCCAAACACACCACCAAAGCATGGCTACTTGCTTTCGTGTAAAGTGGGAAGGACAGCGGTGGCACACGGGAAAGACTGCTTTCTGGTTTTTTCCGCACGACGCTTGGAAAGCTCACGCTGAGGAGACATTCGGCTGCTGTGGAGGCTGCACTGGCTGAGGAGGCTGCGCAGTGGCTGCCGGCGGCTGAGAAGTGCTACCAGGGTTGGCCTGTTGGGCAGGGAGCTGGGATAACTGATCATTGTTTGAAAGAGATTTTAACAGTGCATTCTCTCGTTCAAGTAAGGAGTTTCTTTCTACTAATTCTTTTATTTGCTCCTTTAAAACTTCCACCTCTTCTCTCACTGCATACATCAAATGGCTTTTCACCAGATCCTGTGAAACACAAAATGAGCAATGTCAGAAAGAGTGAAGAGGAAAGTGCTTCAACAGAGCGAGGAATGTCAAAAGGAGTCAGAAAAAAAGAACAAGGAGAAGAAAGAGAGCTACTTGGTTCTTGCTTGCCTGGGACCTTAGTAACTGCCCAAGTTCCTACATCAGAACTCCTGGTTTGCATTTAAGACGTCTGCCCTATCGTGACCGGCCCGAGAGATGAAGCGGGAAAGAAAATCCAGGTCCCATCCAGTGCCGCGAGCTCCTTCCCCACCTGCAAGGTTTAGACTGATTTCCAAAAAGACTCCCTGAATTGCCAATTATAAGCTTAGAATTTAAAATCTCAGGTTGTAACTCAAGTGCAAGACATTCAAATGAAGAAATACTTAGTTCTAGACTATCAAAAGTTCATTCTGCATTGCTTGTTTGTTATCGAGATTTACTAAAATCAAGTGGTGATAAGAATGAGGAGTACAAACTTTTACTTACCATTGCTTGTTCTATTTTGTTGTCAATGGCTACAACACCTCCCCCAGATGCACTGGAAAAAATTATAATATTTAATTAAATTACTTTTCACAATTTCATCTCCCTGCCCACTCTTAAAGTAACGTGAAAGACATATGTCCTTTTATTTAAGAACAAATGATACATGGCCTTAAAGGGGCAGAACTCTCTCCCTCCCTCAAATCCAGTTTTGTAAACAGCAACCGAAATACGTGGGTGATTCATAAATACATCAAAACTCAACAACCTTCCTTATATACACTTCACTTTGTAGAAATGGTTTCTAAACCCCATTTAGAGGGTTTTTGGAAGAACTGCTGAAGAGGAACTCAACATTCTAGTAAACCAACATGGTTTGGTTTATAGGTCACTCGCTGGCAAAAAGAACTCTGTAAGGCATGTGGTTTATACCAGTTTGCCTTGGAAATAATCCAAAGCAGTATATAGCCCGTGAGTACACCTTAAGCTCAAACATCACCTTAGCATTTATTGGTATGATACAGAAGGTTAAGCAACTGTCTGTCAGCTTTGTGGTTCACACTCACTCATCCCACTGCCTCCCTGACACTTTTCCTTGCTTTTTTGGTGTGTGTGTGCACGCACACAGGCGTGTATGCTAATCCTAGGGATTGAAGAACTGAGGGCCTGTGTGCTGTCCCAGAGCATTTGTACTTAAGGTTGTATCACTGAACTACATTACAGGTCTATTTCTAGCTTTTTAGTGGGTAACTGAAGAGGGGTCTCAGACCTTCCTGCCTGGGCTGACTCTGAACTGAGATCAGAGGCCTCCCGTGGAGCAGAGATTTCAGAGCTAAGATTTCAGGCACCATCCATCGGCACTTGGCCTCCCTTTTTTTTTTTTTTTTTAGAAACCATTTGCAAAAGAACCTTTACATCACAAGTTAAAATCAGTGAATTTGACAAAGGCAATCTAACTTGGCTTCACATTTTTAAAAATTCTTGAGAAACCAGCCTTTTCTTTATTTGTAGTCATGTGAACAGCTACTTATCTAAAACCAAACAGTTTATTTCCCACAACATAGTGCTAGAACAGCATTCAGAATACATGAAATGACAGAAACAGACCTAATGCTGAAATCGACACCCTCTTTCCATAATGTAAGATGGAAACAAAATGACCTAAAACAAATCCTGAGTAGTATACATTATGAAAAATGCAGTAAGTGCCAAATGTTGTGAAACCCTATGTGTAAACTCAGAGATTAAACCCCACTCCCAAACAAGCTAGTTATCTTATCCAGCACATTTCCCAAAGAAGTTCTGATGGTGAATAGGGAGGAGACTTCTTAGAAAAGGAAGTTAGTTGCTCAGTGATCTTTGGACAGTCAGTATGCTACTAAGAACTAGAATATTCTAGTTAATTAGAAACCTACTGCTATCTTACAATTATCTCTAAGTAAAAAATCATTCAAAGAGCTGTCTTTCTATGCAGAATCACAATCACAACTATAAATATCTTAAGGGGTAAGATTCCACAAAAGGGGCAGGCAAAGGAGGGAGGAAGAGAAATACGAGGAAGTGAAATAGTAAATTTAGGCAGTCATTTATAATTTCACATATTCTGGTAACTGACTGCAAATTCTACCAATGTAAAACAATCTATTTAATTTCATGATTAAAAACCCCCACAAAACCTCACAACAACATCCCATGGTGACTTTTACTAGTTACACAAAACAAATCATTATCAAGGCTGCTATTCTGAGCAAGCATATAAATGGCTACTAAGAAAACTGTCTTCTCAAGTATCCAATAGCAATGGTGTAATCAAATTGCTTACAAGACAGTGTTTAAAACCAGGCTAGCTACCCATGTAACGACTGATGTTAACATCTTCTGTACAGACCTGGTTTACCAATGCCCTCAGCATATTTTACATCCATCTGAATAATTTCAAGTCCAGTTCCTGGGCAGAAAAATGTGGGTTTTTTTTTTTGGGGGGGGTCTCTGATGGGAGGGAAGGGGGTGGTCCTGGGGCTTAAACTCAGGGGTTTTCGCTCAAGGATGGCATGCCACTCGAGCCACATTTTCACTTGTGGCTTTTTTGGTGGTTAAGTGGAATCTCACGGACTTTCCTGCCCAGGCTGGCTTCAAACCCCAGTCCTCAGCTCTCAGCCTCCTGAGTAGCTAGGATGACAGGCGTGAGCCACCGGCGCCTGGCTTCAAACCCCAGTCCTCAGCTCTCAGCCTCCTGAGTAGCTAGGATGACAGGCGTGAGCCACTGGCGCCTGGCTTCAGGGAAACACAGTTTTAGAGGAGGGAAGAGGATGTAAGCTGTAGATCACACCAATGTAACTCCTGGCTTTCAAAGTGCACTGCAGTCACGATAAGGCGTGCGTTATCACTGGGGAAAACGGGTGACCGTGCACAAGACCCTCCTGCGTGTGCGTGCACACACAGTCATATGCTCTCTTGTGAATCCAAAGGTACAAAGAGTATAGAGAAAATAATTCATACACAAACACTCAGTTCCCCTGTTCAAAGTCAATTGTTGGAGGGGAAAGACAAACTGGTTGTTGTTTTATTTGAGGGGGGGAGGGACCTAGTAAGTGAGGACTGGTTTAACAAGAGTGAAAGAAGATGAACAAGGCTGAAGCAGACGATGGGCATGCATGGAAGGGAGTGGTGACACCTGCACCTGCTGGGAAGGGGCCAGGAGACGCGTGTGTGACGGGAAGCCCCAGGAGGCGCTGCCACCCACTGCCTAGGCTCGCTGAGACCCGCCCCCCCCCCTGTTGACTGGCTCTTTGAACCAGCAGCCCTCGCTGAGACCCGCCCCCCCCCATGTTGACTGGCTCTTTGAACCAGCAGCCCTCGCTGAGACCCGCCCCCCCCATGTTGACTGGCTCTTTGAACCAGCAGCCCTCTACCTGAAATTCTAGAGAGTAGTTACACAACCACTCACTACAGCGGCGTCAATGAGGAACTAATGAAGTAAAGCATGGTATGGCCATCTATTCCATGGGATAGTAAGTTATCTCTTCTATAACTGAGACAAAGGTACAAATTATGCGGAATGTATTATCACTTATATAAAGGGACAGGGTGTAATCCTTGAAAAATGTATATACAGAAACCAAATACACACACACACACACACACACACACACACACGCAGCAGCAGCAGCAGCAGCTACCTATGTGGGAAGGTAGGAAAATAGAGATAAAGAGTAATTTCACTACAATTTGGAGAAGACTGGAAAAGCACATTGCGAAATGGAAATGACTTCTGCAGGAGCTACTTACTACACCTTGTACAATGTGGTCATGACATGGACAGCGCAGACAGGAGCAGGGAAGGAGAAGGAAGGGAGATGGGGCCGCTCCACGAGGATATACTACAGTCAACACAAGAAACACTTGTGTTCCGTGCTTTGTAAAGTCAATGTCCTTGGTTGGGTGAATTATAACTTCCTATTATCTATGTATTCAAAGTCAATCTGGTAAGTGGAAAAAAGTTGTGGTAACTATCTATGATAAAAATAGACTACGTATCCTCAGCACCACATAAGCAGAAAAAAAAGCCAGAAGTGGTGCTGTGGCTCAAGTGGTAGAGCACTAGCCTTGAGCTGAAGAACTGAGGGACAGCGCCCAGGCCCAGAGTTCAGGCCCCTGACTGGACCACCCCCCCCACAAAAAAAAAATAGACTATGTAAATTTGTACAATGAAAATGCTGCACTGAAAGAGCATCCAAATGTGTGGAAACATAACAATGAAATCCCCTCTAACACTAATGTAAGCTCATCAAAGTAAATAAATATGCAACCCCAAGAAGGTATCAATAGCAACACTTTACATCACTAAATTAATTTACTTCAAAGGGGTCATTACAATATTTACCAGTAAAATTCTTCTATAAAGGAATAGTTTTTCTTGTAGGGCCACTCTTAAGAAAATTTTATTTAAAAACTAGCTCAATCTGCCAGAGGCATATCTTAAGGCAGTAGAGACGTGTCTCTCAAGCTAGAAGCTGGCTCCTGCCCCAGCCTCTGAAGTACTGGAATTACAGGCATGCACCACCACACTCACCCAGCTACTAGTTCTTCCTTAGGAGATTAAGGTTAGCAAGATGTGGTAGGAAGACGATTACTTCTGCTACCTGAGTAAAACTGAAGGGTGTGACAAAGAAGTAGGAGAAAAGAGAGCAGCTTTCTTCCCAACACTCAGGGGAGGTTTTCTTTAAAGATTTCACTACATTGTAAACACAGCAACTCCAATTAGTTCCTTCTGTTGTCTGGATCAATTTGGCACTTGAGGGCAGAAAAGGTGGCAGAATGCAATGTGGGAAGTGGCGCTGTGGCTCAAGCAGTAGAGGGCTAGCCTTGAGCTGAAGAGCTAAAGGACGGCGTTCAGGCCCAGAGTTCAGGCCCCATGACCGACCAAAAAAGAAAGAAAGAAAGAAAGAAAAGCATAAAGCAATGTGAACCTGTGGAGACTTAGCACAGAAATTCCCACCTCCAAACCTAATATAAATTTAAGAAACAACAAAAATCCTACCAGGCTCCGCAGTTGTGTTTCACCCTAAATAATTAAACAACCCTAGTTATGAGCTCGTAAATTTACTGGAGTTTTAGGCACTAATAGTCAAATGTTAAAAATTTAATCCAGTTCTAAAACACATTAAAATAAAGTCTTTTTTTGAGATTTAAGTTTACAAGACTTATTAAACACAGACCTCCTAAGGACTGAAAATTAATAAAGCTCTTATTGATTCCCTATAGATTCGCAAAGTTTCATAGTTTATGGTAAAGTACTTTTTCTTTTTTTTCCTTTGGTGGTACTGGGGTTTGAATTCAAGGTTCCCTGCTTATTGGGCAGTACTCTACCACAGACTTCAGTACTAGAAAATATTCTTATTGGACTGTAGTAAAAATCTGCCAAAGGCCACTGAAATATAGCTAAAATTAATTTAATCCATCTCACTATGCTAGTGAATAACTACTTTAGCATTACCTAATTCAAAAAGGGATTGTGACATAGGAAAAAGAAAATTGTGAATTAACATATTATAA